GTCACAGCTTCGATGGCGCCCTCAGTTATATGCAAACACAACAGGGCTGCAGTTCGGGTGGAACCGGACCGAAGCGTGCCGGTCCGTTCCTTGCAGTGCGAAAACGGCTTTAGAGCCACTGCAGATAGAATAAAAAGAGAGAACATTTCACAAAAAATGTGGACATTTTCTGATTTCCAAAAATCCAAAAGGTCTTCTGGTTCTGATCTGCTCTGTTTCCCCAGAACTGGACACAAATGTGCAACTTCAGCTTCTAGGCACTACAAATCTGGAACAAACTTCCAGAAAACTGCAAAACAACCGAAACACTGATCCTTTAAATGCTAAAAACCCAGCAGGTTGAATCATGTTTATTTCTTTTTTTGTATTTATTGACCGTTTTGTTTCTCAGGTGAGGTTCTGACCCGAAGTGAAACCTGCAGCATCAACCGGAAACCAAAGACATGATGGAGGACCAAACATCAGAAGAGCTTATCCTGAGCTCTGTGGTGGACTTCCTGTTTCAGATCAGATGGTTATTTACTGACTAATTCATTCCTCCTTATATGTGAGAACTGGAACCAATCAGAGGATGGCTTACAGTGAGGGAAACTATTGATGTCATATTGATCAGATCGCTCCGCTGGGCTGGAGCCGGTCTGACTGAAGCAGGTTCTGTTCAGACGGGTCGCCCTGCAGCAAAGCAGCGCCGGCGTTCTGATCGACAGGAGAGCAGAAAGTGTTCAAACATCTTTGTGTGAAAAGAAAACAGATTTTCCAGCAGAACTTACTGCTGAGTCCCAGAAAGCAGGACGATGCAGTTTGGATTCTAACCGAGTTAAAAGGTGAGTTTGTCTGTAAATGAAACATAAAAACTGCTTTCCTGGCAAAAACAGACGAGAGAAAAACTCTGTCAGCTGCAGCCTGCAGGAAAACAGCAGAAACTTTCCTGCTTCACCCTCCATAAAACGCAGCAAACAGAAAACGGCGTCTTTGAACGGCTGTTAGAACTAGGATTACATTTTAATCTGAGTTTAAAATGAGATTAGCATCAACAAATAGAAGTTATTTTCATTAACTTCAAGTTCTTTAGTTTCAAATATTCATTAAGAATTATGAGAAAAGTTCGTCAGGAGACATTTATTTTAGCTTGGCCGGTCCTGGAGGTCTTGGAGCGGCCCAAACATGTTCTGGTTGGTTCGGTGCTGAAATGGTTTGGATTGGAACCAGTTTGGTGACGATGACATGGGGCGTTCCTCAGGGCTCCACTTTATTCAACAGTTTCATGATTTTACTGTAAACATATCAGATTCCTTCATCTGGTGACCAGCCTGTTGCTTTCAACAACTATGAAATCCATCCACAGACCGCGGCGGCCATCTTTACTGGCTAAACGGAATGCTGTGTCGGCCATCTTTACAGCCGTAAACAGAATGCTGCGTCGGCCATCTTTACTGCCGTAAACAGAGCGCTGCGGCAGCCATCTTTACTGCCGTAAACAGAGCGCTGTGGCGGCCATCTTTACTGCCGTAAACAGAGCGCTGTGGCGGCCATCTTTACTGCCGTAAACAGAGCGCTGCGGCGGCCATCTTTACTGCCGTAAACAGAGCGCTGCTGTGAGTCACTTTGGGGTCGGAAACCGTTACGCAAACTGCGGTTCACTTAACTAGTAGAATTATTTTGATCAAATCACATAGAGCTTCTATATCAAATGACTCAATGAGAGCGGAGAGCTTGCAGTGAACCCTGATGCTGTGACGTAGCTGCGGGGCTGCAGCGCCCCCCGGAGGAACACTGCGGTCCTGCTCCTCCTCCACCCAGATCGCCGCTAATAGCTTTTATCTGTTTTTAGTCAGCAGGCGGCTTGTTGTTGAGCTCTGTGTCCAAAACAATCCTCCCTCCTCACCCAGAGAGTGGGAGTCCAGTTGGTGGTGTGAAGAACGGCATTGTGGGTAAATGTCACAGAGAGCCTTCTGTTCTACATCTGACTCAGTGAACGGAGAAAAAAACGTTTTCTCAGGTTCAGACGGAGACAGACAGAACGGCAGCAAGGATTTACACTCACTGCCCATCAGAGATTAACCCACAAGAACTATTTAGCTGGGAGCCGACCTCTGCCTGACCTCTGCCTGACCTCTGCCTGCTCTGGTTCTGTTTGCTCTGTCCTCTGAAATATTTTACATTTAATCTCTTCCTGAAACATTCTTCACATTTACATGAAAGCTCTCGTCTGCTCATTCAGATTTTTAATAACATTTGGTGGAAAACTCCTTTAAGCTCCACATTTTGTCGAGTTACAAACTCAAATCTCAATAAATTTCACTGAGATTTGTTATGATGGCTCGACAGTGGAAATGAAGAAATAAAAATGTGAAAAGTGTTTCCGAATAAACACCTGGCACAACCGACCTGCAGCTTCTGCACACGTGCAGAATGGAGGGAACCACAGATTGGACTTTGACTAGGCCGTTCTAAAACACAAAGCAATAATTCAAAATAAATGTAAACAATAATTACAACCTTGTACATAAACTTGTGATCCTTTTCACATTTTTCCACATTATAGTTTCAAACATTCTACCACAGCAATAAGCTTTAGCTAAAGCTGTGCTAATTCAACTCAAAGCAACCGCTGCAGTAAACTTCAACAAGTAATAAACGTTTAAAAAAACAGTTTTCACCATGAATATGAAAGAAAAATAGAGATAACACTTTATAAATTAACAAGGAATTAAATGAAACGCCCTCAGCTAGCAAGCTAGCATCATTCTGGACAGTATGCTAATAACATTTAGCCATAAAGAGAACAAAACATCCATTGCTCTTTATAACATCAGTTATAAATTAAAACTTTTCAAAAGGTTTACTCACTGTCCATGAATCCATTGGGTCGCTAAGAAGAAGGAAAATCTCCGCCTGAACCTTTTCTCTAAGCTGTTTGATGAGGGAAACGGAGCAGAGTTCATGATGGCTGTTTTCCAGCAGCCTGGAAAACAGAACAAAACCTTTCAGAGGTGCAAAAATGTTAAAGTCTCACTTTCCAACCCGACAGCCGGCCACATGCTGGATGTCATAAAGCCTGAACCAAAATCCTTCAGCAGAAGCCAAATGAGCCATCAACATTTCTACTTCTCCGTTTTCAGTCGGCTTCAGTCTGATAGCTCATAGTTTTACTCATTTACAGAGAAAAACTGAAAAATGAATCTGAGAACGCAGCCAGAAGATTCAGAAAGCTTTTAAAAAACCAACAGACCTGGAAATCAGTGCAGAAAAATAATTACATATGAGGAGAACACTGCAAAGCTTCCAGTTCACAATTCAGTTCATGACGATTCATTCAGTGAGGAGGAAGTCAGGAAAAATGTCTGAGGGAAAGAGACCCAGCAAACTGGCACCTTATGGAGAGATTAGAGCCGTTTCCCTGCTGATGGTCCGGTAGGCTCGGTTCTTTTGGGACCAAAACATCAACATCTGTTTGTGGGTTAAAGTGGACTGCTAGTGCTAGGCTAGCATGGTAGCTTTGGTTGTATTTACCCAGAATGCCCTGCGCTATAGTCCACTTCCTGCTGTTTTAGTGGTCTCCAGTCCACTTGGTGTTCACATTCAACCCAAACCCAGACCGAGGTTTGGAGGACCAGAGGTCAGAGGTCAGTTAGTATTCACACCTGACCAACCAAACTGGACTTTGACTAGGCAGACAGACTGGAGTTGGATTAAAGTAGACTGGACACCTTTAAGTGAAGTTAGGACTAAAATACGGAGCAGAAACATTTTATTTAATGTTGGTGATTAGAAACAAACAAACCGTAATAAAGATGAGAAGGTTTTCCAGAATTCAAAGATTTAGTAAATAAATATACGTCATTTAGATGTTTCTGTACCTTTTCTACTTATGCAACAAGTGTAAACTGCATCTCTTTAGGACTTGATAACACACACACATACGCACGCACGCACACCTCCGCTCTCTGCAGGTGTTTTGGAGGGAAGCAAATGAAAGTTGGCGTTTCCAGTCATGGCTGACGTCAGGTTGCCTCCCATCATGGCGCTGCGCCCGCTGACAGAACGAACCATCTGGGCCCCTCCGCTCGCCCTCTGGGCTGCCGGCCAGACTGGGAGGACTGGGAGAACTGGGGGGTCTGGTGCGTCGCTCGCCAAGCTGCAGCGTTTCCATCATTTCAGTGGCTCGATGTCCTCCAGATCGGTTTCAGCTCCACCGACTGCTGAGTTTCACTAAGACCTGAAATAATCAGATTTCATATGAATCTGTCTCCACAGGGTCAAAATGAACTTAAATTCAGCATCACAGTTTATTATTTCACCTACTGTGTGTCTTATATCAGAACTGTTGTATATTTTCCAGTTGATTCTCAGAAACCTGCAGAACCATCTTTAGGTTTGAGATCTAGAATAATTTTCACTCGATTTCCAGCAGCAAATGTGACTCGATTATGTGTTTAATTAAAGTACAGCATGATTAGTTTATTGTTCAGCAGGTAAAAAACATTTTAGTTTGGCCATAAAGGCGTTTAGGTCCAACATTTTGGAAAAAAGAACACACTTTAGTCAATTCTGATCAGTAAAATCAGGATTTCTATCTTTATATGAAAATGTTTCCTGTATTTATTCATTTATCAAATTAATTAATTAAAAGCAGATTTACATGCAGCAAAGTTTACTTTGAGTAAAAGTCGCCAATTTGAGTTGCAGCCAATATTTTCTATTTTAGGAAGATTTTACTTTCTGATCATTTTGTCCCAATTATTATTAATGAACTGAAGTCTGGATATTAACTAAATATGGAGAAATAATCCAGATGACCAGATCTGGAGTCTGATCATCCTGATCCGTCATGTGGAACCAACTGTTCAATGCAACGTTCTGCAGGGAAACTTTATAATGCAACACTTCAACTCTTTAACCATCAATAATAACAGAACTCAATGCACTGATCAAGTCTTGAGGTTAAATTGCGCAATAGAAATAAACCAAATTCAAATAAAAGAAGCAACACAATGCAGTAATTTAATAAAAATCAACATTTATTATAAAATACATTCAACAGTCGAGTGAATTTGAGGATTCATTAGAAACATGGAGACACAGCAAAGCGACGGTCCTTAAATCCAGACCGAGGTTCTCCTGTTGGGGCCGTGTGTGTGTGTGTGTGTGTGTGTGTGTGTGTGTGTGTGTGTGTGTGTGTGTGTGTGTTGGCCACCACCAGGACATAAAAACCGAACAGGAAATGAAGGAAACGGACTCCGCCGTGTTCCACACACCAACCCGGCTGTCGGAGTGAAACGGTCCTCAGCGGTTGCCATGGTAACTCTCAGGACACATGGAGGAAGTCGCTTCAGAACAGCAAACCTGATCTGATTATTACTGAAGAAATCTTTATAGTTTTGAAAACAATCTCAAAAATTAGCATGCTAGCCTCTCAGATGTTTCCATATTTCCCATCAGCCACTTCAATTTCAGGCAGACATTGTTCAAGATGGCCGCTGTTTTTGAGTCTTTTAAATCAGTTATTGACAGAAAATGTTCCCCATGAACTTTGTCACATCAGATGTTTTGGTCGTCATATCTATACAACTTTAAAATATTATGTAAAAATCGCAAACTGAGGACTCTGCTGCTAGCTGGAAGGAGAAGATATGAGACAGTTGGCTCAATGGCTAGTGTTAGCTTCTGCTAGGTATTTCTAAGTCTTAAGTGGTTTAGCGTTAGCAGAGCTAATTTTTCTGTGTGTAGCATTAGCTTCTGCTAATATATTTTATGTGCTTGGTGATTTAGCATTAGCATAGATACCATTCTTGGTTAGCATATTATTGGTTAGTGAAGCTAACTTTTGGTCAGCTGTGACAACAACTAGCAGTAATTACTGCTGGCTTTAGTGCCAACACATATTCTCCATGATGACCATTTTGAAAAATGTCCTTCAGAAACAAGATCAAGAAAATATTTATGTAGGCTATGATTTAACTGGCGATTTTAGTGGAAAAACTTAATTTACTATGGTAACCATGGTGGCCATTTTGAATAATAAAAATATTAGTAAATATGATTTCTATGGGTTGAATTATGTAGCATTTGACAGTATTAATGTCTGATGACATTTAGTCCCATTATGAATTTTCCTTGACGACCATCTTGAATTGTCGTCAACAAACAAGAAATAGTTGTTTCTATTTGCATGTTAAAGATTTTGTTTAAATAATCAATTCTCTGCTGTATAATGTGTCTGATCATAATCAAATTCAATAACTGGGCTTTTTAAAGATTAATTTTCTGCAAAGATTCAAATCATATTCCAGAAATTAAGAACTAGATCAGACTCATTAACAGTAAACGCTTACATAGTCGCTAACGAGGCCAACATTACCGATCTGGGGTTCTCCGGATCAGGTATAAGCAGGTAATATCTTGCCTCTCTTATTTTCTCCTTGTTGAGCTGGTCCAGGAAGCTAAAGCTAACGGCTAATCTGAGGATTGCACCTACAATGATCTTCCTGTGTGAAAACTAAAGGCTAAAAAGGTTTAAAAAGCTCATTTAGTTTATTTTCACACCAAGTTTGTTTTCTGTTAGGCTCAATTCTCAGTGTTTGTTTCCCACAGGAAGATTATTGGTGGCGCACCACCTCCAAGGTTGCGTGACTAACCATCCAACGATTACATGAAGATGATTTAAAGGTTCCTAGAATAATGTGTGAGTGTGTGAGGCTGGAAGTGGTTTAGTTTTAGTTTTTCCTGGAAGTCAGCAGACAGGAAGTCAGCAGACAGGAAGTCAGCAGACAGGAAGTCAGCAGGCCTGCAGCATCTTCCTGAGCTCCTCGTCCACGCCGCGCTGCCCCAGTTGCTCCAGGCTGAAGTAGCGGTGCACCACGGCATCGGCCGTCACCGCCACCAGCCGCACGCCGTGGGTGTCGTCGCCCAGCTGGCAGCCGATGGCGGAGGTCACCACCATGTCCAGGCCGTCATGGCAGCCGCCGGCGTTCCGGTGATAATGACCCGAGAAGATGGCCGTCACTCCTGAGAGACGCAGTGAGAAAAGATTCATCTCTCAGTTTGTTCTGTTCAGAGTCAAAGCTGAAAAAACACAGAATTAAAAACAGGAACTCGATAATTTGATCATGATGTGTTAAAATATGAAGTATTATCTATCTACACACACACACACACACACACACACACAGGGCGCCTTATTCATTCAGGAGAATCTGAGGTCAGAAGCAAAGTGAGTCCAGCGACAGGAATCAGACGGTCGGAGCGAAACGCCGTTTGGTTCATTCAAAGCACAGAAACCAACCAGCAGATGAATTACTTCCCGGTTCTGAACAATGTTCAGGTTTTATTGGTGCATCATAAAGAGTTTTCAGTGATTTTACACAATAAAAGATGAAATATTCCAGCTGCTGCTGAAGCCTCGTTTATCTCCCGGATAAATCGGGTTAGAAGTTTCTGCTAAGCTGATCCGTGTCGGCGGCTAGCTTAATGAAACTCCCAGAAGAAAGATGGCTGCCACGTCTCTGCTCTCCCGTTTAACCAGTTACAGCTGCAGGCGGGGTTCCAGTTTCACCAGGATTCCCAGTTCAAAGCCGTTCTTCCTCACCAAATACCAGTAAGACTCTTGATTTTATCTTTTAGCTGAAACAACAAAACAATATAATGTTTATCACAATAATCAGTGGAAGGATTCATCGTTACTGTGACAGGCCAAACTGGAGCAACAATAATTAAAGAAAACTTTATTTCTGCTGCAAACCCTGCAGCTCAGAAGTTTTCATACACCTGTCTGCGGCTCGATTTGTTGCTTTTCATGATTATTTATGTTTTTATTATTTGGTCGTCTAATGAAGCGGCGGCGCCTCCTGTCTACTCGCTCTCATGTTGTTTGTTTGGGTTGAACTGAAATGAATTTTCTTGATGATAGAAGCTGATTCTGATTCTCATCTGCTGTGGATCTTGATGCTCCAGTAGCAGTCAGTGTTGCAACAACTCTGAAAGGGCCTCTGACTGAACCGTCATCACTGTGCCGACATGCTAACAGCTCAACATCCAGGCAGCAGAGACGATTTTCCTGGATGAGTCCACCAGCTGTTAGCAGCTCTGCTAATCCTCCTCCTTTGCTTTTGCTTTTCTTTAACCTCCGTCTGGCCGTTGGGTCACAAAGTCGGGCAGAGACATGTTGGAGCCAGCGGAGGTGTTTCCAGTAAAGTTTATTGTTTTTCATGATTCTTTTGCATGATTTTCTCCAACAGGCAGGATGATTTATGAACCTCTTCTGCTACGAAACGTAATAAACGTCAGAAGCTGCAGTGGCTGCAGTAATAACGGCTCCATCCGTTCAGCAGCACATCTGGGGCTTCACGCCCAGCAGCAGGACCTGATGATGCTTAATGCACGGCTAATGTGGAGGAAATATGGCCAGGCTGATGGATGTTCACAAATAACATCATTTACCACAGATGAGAGGAAAAATGCACATTTACTGGAGAAAAGCAGCTTTTTTCTTCCAATTTACTGGAACCAGGTCGCCCCAGATTCTGGTAGCAGTCGCACACATTGACTCTGATTAGCAAAACTCATTCGCTGCCATGGGCAGAAATATCACACAAACATTTAAATGAATGTTTATCATGTTTACATTTCTATATTAACAACCAACATGAGGAAAAGGACAGCCTGTGAGCTTTAGACATATTTAAACCTAACATGATTTAAATATGTAGAGCTGAGAAGAAATAAAAACTGAGGAAAATATCTTAATTTTCCTATAAAGTCTGATTTATGGAGATGAATAAATGAGTACATTAGAACTATTCCTACATAAACCCACTAGAATGACATCAGGTTCATCAGACCAGACGGACACGATGAGAATATCATGACTCAGTATTTTAAACATTCAGTCTGACGCTCCTGACTGCTGAACACCAGCCACTTCCTGAACGCAACAGGAAGTGCTTTTATTTTGAAGAACCAGACGTCTGTCTTACACCACTAGTTTAACATCCATCCATCGGTAGACCTGGTTCTATTGGGACCAAAACAACAACATCCAACCAAACACTTTGAGCAACCTGTTCCCCTCCTGGCCTGTGGGGGCGCTGCACCAAGAACCACTGAAGGAAACGACACAAAAACCTCTGAAGACACTGAGAGCAACTTCCTTCTTCACCAGATGGAAACAAGATGGAGGCATCAGATTTTAGCGGTTGGAGGAGCAATTTCTGCTGCTAGCGCGAGGCTAGCATGTTAGCTTTGGTTGTATTTACCCAGAATGCCCTGCACTGTAGTCCACTTCCTGCGTCTGGAGCGGTCTCTGGTCCACTTGGTGTTCACATTCAAACCGAACCCAGACTGAGGTTTGGAGGACCAGAGGTCAGAGGTCAGTTAGCGTTTACACCTCACCAACAGGACCGGACTTTATAGACAAACGGACTGGAGTCGGGTTGAAGCGAACTGAATGATAAAATCCCAAACTGACCAGTTGTTTGGTTTCACCTCTGATGACTTTCAGAGGGTAATTCTACATGAAATCACTATTTGCTTCATGTCCCCTGTGTCCCTCATGTCCCCTGTGTCCCTCATGTCCCCTGTGTCCCTCATGTCCCCTGTGTCCCTTATGTCCCTCAAGTCCCCCATGTCCCTCAAGTCCCCCGTGTCCCTCAAGTCCCCTGTGTCCCCCATGTCCAGTAATTGAACCGTCAGCGTTAAGCAGCAGCTCAGATCCAGTCAGTGGACCATCAGAGGTTCTGCCTGGTCGGATCATCTCGACCATCAGCTTTTAGCGTCGTGTCCTTCGGTCACCTTGATGTTTCCTCACTGAACTCCTCGTTTCCTCACTGAGCTCCTCGTTTCCTCACTGAGCTCCTCGTTTCCTCACTGAGCTCCTCGTTTCCTCAATGAGTTCCTCGTTTCCTCACTGAGCTCCTCGTTTCCTCACTGAGCTCCTCGTTTCCTCACTGAGCTCCTCGTTTCGCTCTCCTAAGCCTCCAACAATGGATCCTGATGAGGGAGTTACTCCCTTACAGGACGTGAGAGCATTGATTGATTAGCGGAGGCGTGTGCGAGCCAGCAGCTTCTCTTGTTCTTCCGGCTAATGGCGTATTAATGCTGTGGGCTGCGATCCCAGCGCTGCCTCTCAGATATGAACAGTTGTAACGGGAAGCTTTGCCTCACTGAGGCCTGAATCCATCCTCAGAAAGGCAGGCTGCAATCAGGGGAAAGGCTCCTAAACCACCATGTCCACCTCACGTAGGCCCGCCGCCCAGCTTCCTGCTGGAGCGCAAACACCAGCTAGCCGATGACCACGCTGGTTTAGCCGTTAGGTTCTACAGCTTGACAACTGTATAATCATATAAATATATTCATAAATGTCCGCGTGCAATAGGGATTGAACAATTTTTTAAGGTCGACTACAACATGATAAAAGTCGAGTCGAAGTCGACTAGTCGCGGTGACGTTTTAATGACGCAAATGAGGCTTTATCAGCTAAATTCACCGTAAATATTGATCAAGAACCAGCTTTTACTAGTCTATCATGCAGAATCAAAAGGATAAGAAACACAACATTATCCTGGACTTCTTCCTGAGCGGCGAAGAAAAGTCTGAAAAGTCGCACAAAGTCGGGTCTGGCTTTCTTTCAAACAC